TGGGAAGGGGAGGCCCAGCGCCTCCCTGCAGAGAGGACCRGGCAGAGCAGAGTGTGCTTGGTTGTTGAATAGCAGGAGAAACAGGGTCACTCTGGTGGAGCACCAGGCCAGATAAGGCAGAGGGCACAGCCCCCACACTGCCCGAAAGTCAGCCAGGACTTAGGAAATGGCGCCGAGGTGGCCACGGTAGGAGGAGGCCAGGGAGGTACTGGGGTTGGGAACAGGACAGCTGACGTGCACTCGGCAGGTGGAAGAGCAAGACAAAGGTGCACYCAGGGACTCTCTGGTGCCCACCTGGTGGCCTCCTGAGTGCTCTTGGCCTCCATCCCCAGGACTATGACCTCAGCCAGCTGCAGCAGCCGGAAGCCCTGGAGCACGTGCTGAGCAAGGCCCCTGGAGTGCGGCGGGTGGACGAGCGGCCGGTGGGCGCTGAGCCCCAGTACCCAGCCAGGCCTGTGGTACCTCACCCAGGTGACATCGGGGACTTCATCAACGAGGTGGGTGCCCTGTCAGTGAGACATCTGAGCACGGTGTGTCCTCTAAAAGTAAATCCTCGTGAAGGCACACCAACAGATGCCCTTGGGGAGAAGGTGGGCTCGGGGCCAGGCATGGCCCACCAGAGTCCTTCTCAGAGAAGGACTAAGGTCCCACCCTGCCGGAGGGTGGGGGCATGGCCAGCCAGAGTCCTTCTCAGAGAAGGACTAAGGTCCCACCCTGCCGGAGGGTGGGGGCTCTGTGCTCAGTGCTCAGCAGGCACCAACAGGAAGTTGGCTGCTGTGGTGGTGACAGCGGTGGCAGCCGTGAGCCACTCTGAGGTGTGACCGAGGCCCCTCTCCCTGGTCTGCAGGGAAGGTCTTCCCGGCTCCCACAGGAGCCCCGGTGCCCTGGCACGTGGGACCTGCTGGGTCTTGGACTCTGCCCAGGCCCTGCCCTGGGGGCACCATGGGGGAACTGCCTAGTCATGCGCAAACTCTGATGTCACCTGAACTGCAGGCGGGGAGCYGGGATGTGCCTCGGTAGCCGCTGGAGTCCACCTCTAGACCGAGTTAGTTTCCTGTCTCCGTGGGTTTCCCCTCAAACAGGCTCAGAGACAGGACTTGAAGCCAAGTGGCTCACCTGGGGGCTGATCCCGGGGAGCCCGGGAGGGGAAGGAGCCCGGGAGGGGAAGGAGCCAGTCAGCTGCGTGGCCAGCCAGAGACGGCCCCTGGGTTGCCTCCCACAGAGACCTCCACTGGCACAGAACACATCCCGCGGGTGGGCGGGGGAGCTGGGCGCAGGTGCCCCCCAGAGTTGCTGCTCAGGGGCCTCCTGGCTGGCCGTGCAGCAGGCCTGGCCATGGAGGTGGTGGGCAAGCGCYGAAGGAGACGGCTGGTTCCAGGGACACCGCCACGCAGCCCCGTTCCACTCACTGAACCCACTTTCACACCGCCAGCCTCGGACCGCTGCCCGGGTCCTCCCCCTGGAGGCCCTGAGCAGGCCTGGAGAGGAGCAGCCCAGGGTAGTGACGGGGCTGAGCACAGGGGCCACCCGAGCCCACCTCAGTCTCTCTCGTGGGCACGGCTGGCACCCGAGTCCGCCACCCAGCTCTCACCTGCACCCAGCAGGCTTCCCCAGATCCGCCCCCTTGGTGCTCTCAGGTAGACCCAGGTGCTCACTGAGCTCCTCCTGTGTGCCAGGCCCTCGCTCTGACCTGCACCCTAATCCCCAGTCTCTGGCCCCCAGGGACTGCGTGCTGCTGACAATGACCCCACCGCACCGCCCTACGACTCCCTGCTGGTCTTCGACTACGAGGGCAGCGGCTCCACCGCGGGCTCCGTCAGCTCCCTGGGCTCGTCCAGCTCGGGGGACCAAGACTACGACTACCTGAACGACTGGGGGCCCCGCTTCAAGAAGCTGGCCGACATGTACGGGGGCGGCGAGGAGGACTAGCTGCCCGCGGCCCAGGGCCAAGAGAGCAGGCGACCCGGAGAGGACTGAGCYCAGGCAGCGCCGGCTCCCTGCGGGGACAGCAGCTCTGCTGTGGAGGTCCCGCCCCGCCCTCCCCAGGTGGAGCTGTCCAGCATGACCTGTCCCTGCCTGGCCAGGCCTGCTGCCCTCTCAGTCGCCACCTACCACCAGGGAGAGCCAGAGGCACCGTCCTGACTTGAATCCCCAGAACAGAAGCACTGTTTCAAAAACGAAAGTGCCTTTGGTACACGCGTCGGACCCCCAACTCAGGAGTGACTGAAAGCAAGCAGATGGCCCCGCCCGGCCCCGCCCGGCCCCGCCAGCCGCGGAAGGCCCCCAGGAAGGCACGGACAGCGTCCTTCTTCTTTCTTTGTTGTTTTTTTTTTTCTTTCTTTCTTTTTTTTTTTGCTGTTGTTGTTGTTCGTTTGGGTTTTGGTTCTGTTGGGTTCTGTTGGGGTTCTGTGCGTGCGTGCGTCTCTTAACTAAGAAACAGAAGGCGTGTGTGACTCTTGGAAAAGTGGCTTGGGCCCAGGTCCTCACAGCCTTCGTGTCCATGGCAGGGGCTTCCCAGCAGCAGAGGCCCAGGGTCAGCCACCCCCTGACCACAACGCCCAGGCCGTGGGGACGTGGTTTCACCCAAGTTGGTGGCTGTCCCCACCACAGTCAGACGCTGTGAACAGCTGGGCAGCAGGTCCCCAGGGCCTGCCCCRGGTGCTCCCACCTCTGCCTTGGCCACCCCATTGTCCCCGTCCCCCCAAAGGCCTCTCTCTGAGCCAGCTGGCACCCCAGTGCCACAGAGGTGCCCTTCACCTTTGGTCCAAGAAGCCACAGCGTCCTGCAAACCCGGCCCGACCTGCAGCCACTCGGGAGTGGACTCCCAGGACCCCACGGAAGGCCTGGTGAAAACGCTTCAGCCCAACCCTGAACTTCCTTGACACTGTCCAGCCCAGGCCTGGGCAGAGGGCAGAGCCTCACCTAGCCCAAGCCAGAGCCGCCTGCCTCTCAGCAACCGCAGGCTTGGTACCAGCACTGACTTTGGCAGACCCTGGCCGCTCCCTCCCCGGGCCATCGGACCTGAGCTCCTGTCTGATGTCTGTGAACTGCTGCAGGTGGCCAGCGAGAGGCCTGGTCGTCCTGAGCTGTCCATCCACAGATCCTCTAGGCTACCCGTGCCAGAGACTGAACCGTCTTTCCCTGTCCCAGGTCCCAGCTGCTCGGCCACGGCCCCTCCAGAGCTGGCGCCTGCTCTTTCCACGCGTGGCTYGACTCAGGCCTGGGGTTGGGTGGCAGTCAGTCCCGCAGGACACCCATCAGGCTGTGCCCAGGGACTCCCAGGAGAAGGCATCTGCCTTCTTCACTGGGCGAGACAGCAGGCCTGGGGCACYTCCAAGTCTGGGTTCAGGGGCACCTCGGGCCGAGTAGGAGGCAGGCACTGGGAGGGGCGTCCTCTGCCTGATCATTTCTGGCTGACCCCAGACAGTGACATTGTGAGGGYGAGGGAACCAGTGGCCTGGGGGACCTGGTATCGGAGCACCCTCTGGGGAGCAGGAGGTGCCAGGATTGAGGAAGGACAGGGAGGCCCACACTGCTGCTGGGGTCCGAGAGCCTCGGAGGGGCTGGGAGGTGGGCGCCAGGGGCACCGTGCCCCCCACCCGAAGGGCTGTGATCCCTGGCTTCCCCTGGCCTCTGTCTCTCCCCGTGCTAAGTTGTCCTCTTTTCTAAATAGCTTTGGCCTCAAAGATGCGCCTGAGTGGACTCCATGTGCCAAACTTGTGGGTGTATCCCATTGGACGCCAGGGTTCTTCTCCAAACCAAACTTGTCCCCACCTCTGTCCTCCTCAGAGCTCTGTCTGTCCTGACCTCTCTGTGACCGTGACCGTGACCGTGACCGCCTGGGGGGAGGAGGGCGGGGGCTGCCTTGTCCTGCCTGGAGCCCCTCCCTGCAGATAGCCAGTCCAGGAGATGGGCCCCGGAAGGGAGGGTCCCCATCTCCAGCCGTGCTATGCAAATTGCTCTGGGCTGGCAGCCAATGAGGGGGCCCCGGTGTCTGGGGGCGTGGCCATGGCTGGAGGCCTGGTGGGGCTGGGGRTGGGAGCTGGAATGTTCTGCTTAGTATTTTGGACAGTTGGTCCTTGGGTGGCAGTTCTGAGCCGGAGGAGGACGAGTGGCCCGTTTGCAGTGTGCATGCGATGGGCAGCAGGGGACTGAATCCCCTAGCTAACGTGGTCCTCTGGCCAGGAGAGTGGAATCCCGCTGCCTGCTAGGCGCATCTCCTGGCCCCACTGTCGCTCCCCTCCTCTCCTCACCACCAGGCCCCCTGCACTGGGCAGGCTGAGGCCGCACACCAGCTGGGGTGGTGTCCGTGGGGACTCCCTGTGACAGCTGATGGCTTTCCCTTCCACCCCACACCCGGTCAGCCCCTGGGGCCAGAGAAGATGGGGTTCCCACACCAGATCCACTCAGAGCTCTGCCCTGCGGCCCTGAGTTAGCGTTAGCCAGTGTACAATCAGTGTCACGTCTCTCTTCTGTAGCTTGTAGATTTGACCTGTCTGGTCGGCCCAGCCACAGGGCCCGGCTGGCTGGCAGGGTGCGGGGCATGCTTTAGTTTCTTTAGGGCATTTTTCTTCTAGAGCAGAATAAAGCTGTGCTGCAAGGTGGTGTCAGCAACACCCTGGCCTTGGTCAGCCTGGGCACCCCATCTTCTGGCCAGCAGGTTTTTTTCTTTCTTGTCTTTCAGCACATCCAAAATGCTAGGCCTCCCGCCACCAAAGTGTCTGACTGTCGGGCCCTCAGAGGTGCCTCGGTTTCCCTAGCGAGAGTACACGGTCCATTGAGGTGACCACTGTGTCCTCTCCAAGGTCAAACGCCAGGGGAAAGGGAATCTCCATTTCCATCAAGCTAAAAAGGAGTAACACCAAAAATCGGAACGGAATCTCCCGTGCACAGGGGCCTCCCGCGGCGGCTCCAGGCTGGCTGGCCGCTGCCCGCAGCAGGCCGGGCCCCCCGTGTGCACTCGGACGCCTTTGCTTTTCCTTTCTCTCCTTTTCCATTCTGGTTTTTTTTTTTTTTTTTTGCATGTTTCTTTCTGAGAATGGACAGACTGCGTAGCAGCCCGCATGACCGTGGTTGTCTTGGAAAGGTACCGGAGTATGACGTCTTCTCTGCAATCTGAGCATCGCGCCGTCAGACAGTGTTCCGGCTTTTTTTGTAATCGTCAACAGCACAACTATTTTGTATCGTTGTTTGTATCATTTTGTACCGAAAAAAAAAAAAAGAAAAAGAAAAAAAAGGGAAGGAAGTGGATGTTTCGATGTGTCCTTGGTACCAGGTGGCCTCGGCTCAGAGGAGCAGCAGCTCTGCGGGGGCGCGGGGCGCCAGCCAGGCCCCCGCTGCTCCGAGGAGTGAATAAAGTCCCCTTTGAAGAGTCGCCTCAACCTGCTTTTCTTCTGCTCACTGGGCCGCTGTGGAAGGACGGGGCGGCCGGGGTGGTTCCTGGGGTCCTTCCGGCAGCAAGCACATTCCGGGAAGCAGACGCAAACACAACCGGCCCAAGCCGTGCAGATCCGGAAAGTGTCTAGAAGCCACCACTGAACAAAATGTGGCCCCCTCTTATCTCAGCAGATATCCTCCGTGGCACYGGGGGACGCTGGTTCAAGTGTGGGATTCTCAGACGCCTTGGAGCCAACATGTGGCAGCAAGGAGTGATTGGGCCCCGGCCACTGCCTTCCCACCCCTCCACCGCCCTGTCCAACACTGCAGGGGACCTCGATCCCACAGCCTGTGCGTCCCAGCCTYGCCTAAAAAGCAGTACCCAGGTCTTCAGGGGTCCACCTCGTACAAATTCTCCTACGACGGGGCAAGGTGGTGCCGCCTGTCACCCTAGCTAATAGGGAGGCCATGGCAGGAGGATTGAAAGTTCAGGGCCAGCCTGGGAAACTTAGCCAGGCCCTGTTTCAAAATAAAAATAGAACAGGCTGGAGAAGGGGCTCAGTGGGAGAGCACCCCTGGGTTCAAGGCCCAGGAAGGAAGGGCGGAAAGGAGAAACACACGCAGTGGCGGCAGGAGGGGCCCGTGGGGCGGGGGGGCGGGAGGCAGCTCGGGGAGCGCTGGCCCCGGTGCCCAGTGGTCTGAGGGCCGCACAGGCCGTGACACTCTCCATTCCGCCCCTACCCCGGGTAGGGACAAGGCCAAGCCAGGGCCAAAGTACAGGTGCACACACGCAGGCCACCAGACGATGGTCATCTCAGTGGCCACTGTGTGACCCAGGTCTGAGCAGCCCCACCACCCGCCCACTGGGACCCAGATAGCTGAAGTGACTTGGCTTTCCACTGGTCTGTGGCCCAGTATCACCCAGGCCTCCCCCAGAGCTGGGGCAGCCAGGGCTGCTGGGGCTGAGACCACCAGTCCCTAGAGTGCTCGTAAGGTGACTGACCACGTCTCTTCCTGTCCAAAGCAGAGCCGTAGCCCCAGAGCTCTGGGGACATTCTGGCCTCCCCAGTGTCCAGAAAACCCCTCCCCCACAGAGGTGGATAGGAGCMAGCCCCCCGGCTCTCACACAGGTCCCCCAGAACCAGCCAGAGACCCCTGAGGCTGAGAGGGGTCACCTTCTAGGGGCAGGGTTTGAGCAAGGTGCTGAGGACCCAACCCAGGGCCTCACAAGTGCTAGGGAGCACCCACCCCTGAGCTGAGCCCAGCCCGACGCTTGGTGGTTCCTCAGGGACATGGCCAGCAGGAAGACCCGGACAGTGGGCCTCTCTGCGGGCTGCCCAGGGTCAGGCCTCCGAACTTTGGAGGAATCTAGAGGCCCAGGCTCAGCTCCAAGCGCCCCGGGGCTCTGCGGCCCTCCACCAGGGGAGGACAGGGCTCCCGTCCTGGAGGACACAGCAGCCCTCACCCACACCAACCTGCTGGTGGGTGGATTTGGACTTTGTAGCCTCCGGAACTGGGAGACAGGGTCCTGCTCTTCATAAGTCACCCAGGGT